AAATTAATTTTAATTAAAACAACAAATTGAGGTCTGCGTTACCAAAATCTGAGTTCGGGAGTCGGTTACGTGTGGGGAAGGATTAGCACCCCCCACAACGCCCTAAATCGGTACCTAATCGATTAATTAACGTTTTTGCAATGAACTTTACAAATTCGAACTTAATTTGATTTTTGATCCCATAAAACAAAAATGTAAATTTAAAACATTCAAGAACACTCAAACGAATTAAATTAAAATTACCAAGTCATTTTAGAAAGATAAAGAATGTTCGATTATTTACAAATATCGAGACCAGATCTTAAAGATAACAACCTTTCTCGATATATTTAAATAAACGAACATTTCTTTTTCTCTCGTTCCCAAATTTTAGTGTGATGGATCAATTTTTAGGTTTCACTTTCGGGATACACTTTTAATTTAAAATTGTCGAAAGTGGATCTCTAATCAGTTAAGACAACCCACTTAAAACAATTTTAAATTAAAAGGGTATTACCCTTAAATCAATTATGTAACGATGTCGAATTGTACACATGAGGCTAACAGGCAAATTATATAAAAGGATGTCATGCAAAAACTAATCATATAATGTCAGTCACACATTCGAATAACCATCTTAGTCTAAAATAAAATATGCACATACACTAAAATAACATCAATTGCTATATATATAAAAACCTATTGTCAATAACAACAATCTCGTATTCAATACTGACATGGGGACCAAAATAACAGAAAACTAAAACTAAGCATACAAAATAGAAATTAAACACTAAACTCAACAAGCATAATAAGTAACTAAATTGTCATATATAAAAATTACAAGCTAGATGCGAAGACAAACAAACAAAAAAAAGTAACACACTGGGTACTAAATTAGAATATGCATAAACAAAGAGAACAGAATTAGGAAAACACAAAAGACTCGTTACAAGACTAAAATAAAAGAACACGAAACAACAGGCCAAAAATATCAACAACACAAAATATGACTTAACTAACGAGATGGATTAAAATAAATATTCTGAAATTTAAGAGCCGAATACATAAAGTTGTCAAAACTTAAAATAACATGGCTCGTACTAAAATGTAACAAACATAAAGATTAAGAGCCAAATTCGAAATGTACATAACACCAAAGCAAGGACTAAAACGAAACATATAAGAACTGCAAGGGACGTCTCTGCGTGATTAACCCTCTCCTAGGCGCAGGTCCTAAACGGTGCCGTTTAGGAGACTGAATATATTAGGAACCTTAGGCTTAGTTTTAACCTAATTTTCATTCTAAACTCAGCCTCACTTTAATAAACTCTCCCCTCCCCTGCCGTTCTCTCAAAGCTCCTCTCATTCTCTCTCAAAGCAACCAAACGAGGCCGTGGCCACCATGGCCGCCGCCCAAGGCTCCGATGAGGATCCACACAACCTCGAGTCCACCCCGTAAATCACCTTGAACCCTTAAGCTTCAAATCTCTCACAGCAAGAAACCATAACCCAAAGGTCAAAACAACCCCCAACCTTCACTGCTGAACTCTCGACCACCGCAGACTCACCCTCGAAAGCTACGTTGAGGAACCAAGACCTCACGACCTCGCTCTACCCCTTTGTTACCGAACCGAAGCCTCACAAAAATACCCACTATCTACTCCGACAAAACCAACAATAATGTTTCCGACGAATAAGGTAAATGGACTAAAACGCTTTTCCTATTTGCATTCAACCCTTAAACGAATTGATTTCAAAATATTTACTGATTTTATTCTGTTTTTAGGAACCTATCTATTCTTTTTCCTTCGAATGTAGCACCGGAAATGACCCCAAACCTCTAAGGTAAATGTACTGTTATTTCTATATATTTTAACTTGATTTTGACTCAAAGCATATGCATGTACAAGCAAATTACAAAAACAATTGAAAATAGAAACAAGTAAGCAAATTACAAAAACAATTGAGAATGGAAACATAGAAATAAGTACCCCTTTTTGATTTTGTGTTACTCTGATTTAATGACAAGAGAGATCCTTGCTTCCTTTGATCCTCGAATATGGGAATTCCCTGGTAATCTTTTATTCCCACTGGTAATCTTACATTCCGTGAACCAAACGCACCCTAAGGTAAATGTACTGTTATTTCTATATATTTTAACTTGATTTTGACTCAAAGCATATGCATGTACAAGCAAATTACAAAAACAATTGAAAATAGAAACAAGTAAGCAAATTACAAAAACAATTGAGAATGGAAACATAGAAATAAGTACCCCTTTTTGATTTTGTGTATTACTCTGATTTAATGACAAGAGAGATCCTTTGCTTCCTTTGATCCTCGAATATGGGAAATAACCTTTTACAAGTACTGTTCTTTTTCTTTTTTCTGTGCTTTTCGTCCTTTTTTTTGTCTATGGCCCCCCCGTAGTTGATATCCCTCTCTTTTTTAAATCCCATTAAAACTGATGATGGGTAGTTATTTCTTAAAAACTAAAACTGCTAAAAACCGACCCTCAAACTGCTATCTTCTTGTGCATATATCTGTTGTCCATTGGGCTTGAATGGGGCCTGTCCCGACCTAGACTCGGATAAAACCGAGCATCTACAACATTTATGGTAAAACGTAGATCAAGTAAGATGGTGTCTGATCCACCTAAATATTTTTAAAGTGATCGGTGGCAACTCTAACCCAATTATTCAAGTCGAAGCCCAACTCCGGGTCCAACCGAAAGACGGTTGCGACACAGGGTAGTGGAGAAGATGGAAATCAGACCAATGTTAAGGATCAAAAGCATAAATGAGCCTTTTTTTCCTAGCGATGAACATAAGGGATTAAAATGCTCCAAAATGCAAATTACCAACCCAAAATCAAAAATTAAACCAAAAGGCATATCAACTACAAAATAAGGACAAAACTAAACAATACTGAAGTTACATGTCAAATATATAAATCTGTAAAATTCGGGAATACTCGAACATAAGGACATAATGGGTAATAAACCCCAAGCACTAAAGCACTAAATATAGTGACTAAAATGAACATAATGCTAGTTTGAAACCTAAAACATAAAGTATATAATAATCTTTTAGGCAAATAAAGAGTGAGTAGAATGAACTAAATCACAAATCAGGGCTCAAAATAAAGTAATTACCCAAAACATGTTAATGAACAAATAGTGGTCAAAATGAAATGTAAATAAATATTGAATCCAAAACTGAAACAAACAGAAACCATTAAATGATGACCAAAAGGAACACTACACAAAATCAACAACCAAAATCTAATACTTAAACAAATAAAATACTAACAAATATGACTAAAATGAAATACAAAACATATAAAAAGCTCGAAATGGAAGGATGAAGTTTCATTAAGTGACCAGATTACAACCATTACAAAGCTCGAGGGACTTCGGATGAGATTATACCCTCGACCAGGCGCGCAATCTCCCTTTTTTTTCCAAAACGACATCGCATCAGTGATGGTATATAACCATCTCAATAAGGTTATTCAAACCTTAAAAAATCATTTCTCCTTCAGCTGCTCCAAAAAAATGAGAGAAAGCACCCTGCCCTTTTCCTTTATCGGCATTCCCCTTTCCAGAAACCGGTGATGCTACACAGTGCTAGCTGCCACTAATCGGCGTCGGCTGCCACTTGTCGACGGCGGAGAAGAGAGATGGTGACATCAAACGATTCCTTTCAAGGTCCTCAATATGAATCTAGGACCCGTTTACTTTAAAAGATAATGGGATGGAGTAGATCTAAAGGCGAAGTTTCGGGAAAGATCTACCTCCGATGACCTCTTTTTCCTCGATAGATAACCAACAAGGGTAAACTTCTTATTCACCTTATCTCTTTCTTTCTTAATTTTTGTTTCTGTGTTCGAATCTTTTTTTCTTCTTTGCTCTCTTTGATTTTTTTCTCTCCGCTTTTTTGAACTGACTCATCCTTCCCTTTTTTTGGTTCTCTCCTTTGCTTAGTTTAAATCCCCCTTTAATCTGTTTGCATGATGGTTTGATGAAAACTTCTACTGCTACTGAGAAAATAGGGTATGTTTACATTATTTTCGGCTTGTGACAGAGTTGGATTTCCTCGGGATAATGTTTTGGATTTGTTCTTATTTTTTATTGGTTTTTTACTTTGATTTGCTTATTTTGACTGATGGGTTGTTTTTATTCACTGTTTGGAGGATTTGATTACTATAGCAGCGCCTCACGAGGCTGAGGAGGCTCACGGTGGAGTTCATGCATCAGTTGGGTGTTGTAGGATGTGCACCACACGCGCCAGGACCATTGTCTAGATTCCATCGGCGACAACAGTTGCTTCACATATTAGGGTAAAACCTTAATTGTTGATAGATCTGTGGATCGTTAGATCTCCATCAAATCCAACGACTGGAAATTGGGGCGGCTGGGGCTAATGGGTGAAAATCCTAGTCGGGTTTGGGCTCATGTGCGGGCTTCGGGTTACTTCATTTAGGCCGATTATTTGGGCTTTGTTGTTTCCTGGTGGGCCTACAAAATAATAATAATAATATTAATACTAATAATAATAATAAAAAAATAAAACTAGGATAAAAACGGGTGTCTATAATATAATTACACCATACGCCCCTCAAACTTAAAACTTTTAATTTTGAACCCAAGATTTATTAAAATTTCATTTTTGGTCTCCTAATTTAACTGAATTTTTAATCAATCCACGAAATAAAATTAGGAAATTTTTTAGCCTTTCGGGTGTGACATCTCTAATTGGGCTTAAATTTTTAAATCTAAAAAGTAAAGGACTAAATTTTTAAAAATAAAAGTACGATTGTTAAATTCTAAATGTATAAAACGTACAGAGACTTGGAGCGTATTTAAACCATATTTTACCCATAGTTAAATTCAACAAAGTTGCTACTGGCACCCTCAACCTTTAAGCATTGTTCTCATTGGATACTATACGTAATTTTTTGTTTTACTTTTCTTTTATACTTATATTTTTCTTGTTTTACTTTCCTTGTTCTTCGTTTTTAGATTAGGTATTCTATCTTCCTTGTTCCTCCATGTTCTTTCACCATTCTCCATCTTTGTTATATATGAAATATCTTTGTTTTTGAAGATCCAATTCATTTTTTTTGAAAGAAAGAAAAATTAGATAATGGCGAGGAGTAGATTGTCATCATCTTCGAGTAAATTTCGATACTGTAATCCATCGTATTATTTGAAAAGACCGAAGCGTTTGGCTTTGCTTTTGATTGTTTTCGTTTCGGCTACTTTTTTCGTTTGGGATCGTCAAACTCTCGTTAGAGAACACGAGGTATTCTTCTTCTACTTTTATTTCTTTCTTTTTCACTCTTTAATTTTATCAATTGTCGTGTGTGTTTTGTTTGTTTTTTTTTTTTTTGAAAAATCAAGTTCTAGTTAGTATTAATTAAATTGATCTGAAATTGAAGGAATACGAGTTTTTTCTCTGAAGAGAGGAATTAGATTTGTTAGATCATGAATTTGGGACAAATATGATATCTGATCTTTTTGAACATATCTATATAATTCTAATAATGTTAATGGAATATGAATGGTTTTTTTGTTTTGAAACGAGAGCTCGTTAATTTGAAAGCGTTTCTCTTCTTCTGATGATGATAATTTGATGTTGCCTTTTGGGAGAATTAATGCGGTTTGATTCACTATTTTGTTGTTTTCAAAGATGAGAACTACTAAAAATATTAATTGTACGGATTTAAGGGCTTAAAAATTAATGTAGATATTTGTTATGAATTCACAAGAATGGTAGGTGAATGCTGTTTTCATATTCCTTACTTGAAGTGGATACACACTGGCTATAGAAGCTATCTTCTTTTTCAATGCTTGTGTAATAACACATTTCATACTGACATGCAGGTTGAAGTGTCCAAGATAACTGATGAAGTGCGCCGATTACAAGATACGGTAAGAGCTCCATTTGTATGCTCAAGTTAAGCCTTTTCCCCCTTCCGTTTGGTTTTTTTTTTTGAATTATTTCTGTTGAATGACAAATTTTTGGATGCATTTGTCTGGAGACATCATATTTGGGCATTATTTTTTAGTTCATGTCAACATGTTGTAAAAATTGTGGGGTTACTAATACATTTATGAAATCATCTGTTTTTCTTCTTTTATTCTGTCTTAATGGATCCTGTTGTGTTATATTGCTCTCAATATATGTACCAATGCAGTAAGTTTTGACAAGATTCATGGACTGAGGATTAAATTGTGTTTTTTCAGCTGGATGAATTAAAGAATAAGGCAGTGCCAGAGGATCCCATTGAAATGCAAAGAAGAGAAAAAGTGAAGGAAGCTATGGTTCATGCTTGGAGTTCATATGAGAAGTATGCATGGGGCAATGACGAACTTCAGGTAGGCTGAAATCTTTCTATGTCTATTATATCAAGAAGTTGTTCTGACTTTTTTCTCGCTTAATATATTTTTGTTCATATTACCATAGTTATGTTATGTAACGTAATTACGTAATAATTAATACCAATGATTTGTTCTACAAAGAGGGGGCTTTCTTTGCCAAAATTTGCAACTTGGCTGTGTTCAGTTTGCACATCAACATTAAGTTCAGTTAACTTGAATATCATTGCAATGTGTTGCCATGCTAAATTACTAATTTTAATTGTCAGAACTTGACTCCCTTACAAACCTTTTTGAGCTTTCTTGAAGAACTTAAAGTGTTTGATTGCATAGGCTCAGGGGGACTTGGTCTTCAGTCATAGAAAGTGATATGGCCATTGCATTCATTATCATGCTTTACATAAATTTCTGTCAGCAATAAAATATCACTTGAAAGGAAGTGTCAATGAGTCGAATGTGAACAATTTAGAAAATAATTCAAAAGCTCATTGAAGTAGAAATAAACACATATTGTTAGCTTTCTGTATTTGTTAACTTATAATTGTTGAAAAACGTTGGATGATAGAGAACAGAAACTATCTTGTAATTTTATGCATAGCAACTTGAACTTGTTTCAAACATTGCCGTTTCTGTTTAGGTTAGTCTATAACTGATGCAAATAATTATAATATCATATCTTAAAAATATGTGGACTGGTCCTCATAAAGATGCTGGTTTTTGATGTCCTATTCCAGCCACAGTCAAAAAATGGTGTTGATAGCTTTGGCGGTCTTGGTGCAACACTGATAGACGCTCTTGATACTTTATATATTATGGGTCTAGATGAGCAGTTCCTGAAAGCAAAAGAGTGAGTTCAACTTTCTATTCCACTCTCTTTTTTCTCACTCAAAGATTTTGTTTCTATGCTAGATTGCACTGTTCTCTCATCTTCTGATCAGAAATGCCTTTAAAGTCGTAATTTCTGTTTTCACGCGCTTGTTATATGGATGAAGTTTCGTAACAGTAAGATATTATATGTCATGCTACTTTTCAAATGAGGAGGTGGCAATTCACTTGTCACGGAGATATTACCATTTATAAGCAGCTATGAGTTCTTTGCCATACCATAAGACATGAGTCAAATAAGAAGTTGCTTAGCAAATGTTTCATTTGGTTCACATTTTGTTTCTTCTTGAAAGAGGAATTTCTGAATGTGCTTAGAGCTTCGTTCTGGTTTTTAAGGTTGCGTTTTGATGGTGATTTGATATGAGCTTCATAGGAGTTGGTTAGAAAAAGATCTCTAAAGTTTTAGCAGAGCCAGTCAAGCTGGTTTCAGAGTTGAAACTGAGAATGGAATTTGTAAATGCTAAACAAAAATAAGAAAAAGGATCCTGAGAAGTGATTCTATAGCAATTCCATAATACTCTAGAAATAAGTAAAATACTAATAAATATAAATCATCCTAAATAGTATAAAATATTGCAGATGTATATAAAATTAATACAGTTAAACACAAGGCATTGCAATGGGTTTTGTTTTTGTAAAATAGTTACAGTTAAACCATAAAATATAACAAAGTAACAAATTAGTTTTTCTTAAGTACTTTAACCTCTCAAGTAGCTTCTTTTTATCTCTATTCGACAAGACAATAATATCTTTGCCATCTTAAAAGAAGTCCTAAATTAGTTGAAGTTCCCAATTTTGCTCATCTTATATATTTTACCAACTTTCTGCATGTGCGTACAAGTACACATGCACTCGTGCATACGCAAACCTACTCTCATTGGTTCTAGCATGCATCTTGCACATGAGAGAAATAGCAGATGGAGTATTTAAATTGAAAAAAATAAAAAAGGCATAGAGCTTTCCTAGATGCTTGAGCTCCATTTTCTCTAAATTGGATTTTGTGAAAACTTCCCCTAATTCTTTTTCTTATTTTTATTGTATTTTGAATTTTAATTAATGATAATCTTAATATAATCACATTTGTCAATTGTGGGAATGCATTTAAAAAAAATATCATTTTTCCTTTTCTCCTCTGTTTTTTTCTTCTTTGGAACATTTTCTCTCTCTTTTGAAATTAACAGCTTAACCCTCACAGCTATTAGATATCTGTTCTTGTAGTAATGATGTATTTTTTTTACCATCACTGCAATTTTTCATTTATGACAAAATCAGGCACATATTGTTCAATTTTGTTCCCCTAGGGCCTAGGTTATGCTTTATTGCTTGTGCACCTAACAAATGTACTACCAAAGTAAGAATGACACTTCCTGTGTGGAAAGACTGGACTGTTAATTGATTCAATCAATTCGTGGCTTCACATAATGGTTTTCCTTGGTCCTTCTGCTGTCCCTAGGATACAACAGGTCAGCTTACTAGTTAAAGCTTTACATGTGTTTCATTTGTTTTCAAGGAAATTGTAGCTCACCTTTTATTTTCAATAAGAATCTCTTAGATTGCCATATATCGTTGAACATGTGGAACGGTGAAAATAGTTATGGGGCAAGATCTTATTGGTTATCAATACATTTTTCATCATTTCTCTCACTCCTCCTTACTTCAGCCTACTCACATTTTCCTGTTGTATGTTTTTCAAGTATCTTTCAACATTTGTAGAGCCATTCACGTTGGGTTGTCTCTCTTTATGGATTCTGAGTGGGGTGATAAGGGTTAACTAATCTTGGAAAGCGATTCTGCTAACGCCTTGAATTGGATTAAGAATCCAGGCGATTGTCCTGCTTCTGTTGCTCATTTAGTCATGGAGATTGCTAATTGTGTGAGGGATCGTAATGTGATCATGAGGCATATTCAGAGATGTTTTAATTGGGAAGCAAACAGTTTAGCCAAAGCAGGAATAGGGTAGTAGGTTTGTTTCTTGTATTCTTAAGTAGGTGGTGTTCCTTGAATGAGGAGTGTGCTTAAGTCTGAGGGTGTTGGATTGTAACCTTTTGTTTGTAAACTTGGTGTATTCTGTTTTGAAAAATGTTGACATTGGAGGATGTTTGAGATCGCACTCTAGGAATCAATTGGGGAATGACAAGTCTATTTCATTTTGGAATGATGTTTGGGTCAATGATTTACCCTTTAAGACGCAATTTCCAAGGATTTTTGCTTTATCAAACAACAAAAGGGGTACAGTGGCTGAGTTTGGCAACTTCGATGCAAATGGATGGGTGTGGAATGTTCAAACTAGAAGAAACTTATGTGATTGGGAATTTTTCCAATGGGTCGATCTGATGGCAGCAATTAATTGTTTTAATTTATCTGATTCAGTGGAGGATTTTCTTTCTTGGAATGGGAAGGGGATGGTCTGTTTTCAGTGAAATCCTGCAGGTTGGCTTTATCAACTAGTCAAGAAGAGCGTTTTTCGTGGAAAAGGTGGGTGTGGTCAGGTTTGGCTCCGCCTAGAGTAGAAACCTTCCTTTGACAGTTCACTCACAAGAAATTGGCAGTGAAAATGGAGCTGAAGAAAAGGGGGGTTCCTATGGAAGATGTTCTTTGTCCACTGTGTAAATTGAAGGAAGAAACAATCCAACATCTTTTCTTGTCTTGTTCAGTAGCAGGGGACCTTTGGAACAGATTTTTAAAGATTTGGGACATTCAAACTGCTTTGCCTAATGATCCACTAGTTTTGTTAAGTTCATGGTCTGATTTGAAGAAAGACTCGCATTTGGACATTCATCCCGGGAGTAGTTCTTTGGTCTATTTTGGAAAGCAAGGAATTCAATTGTGTTTGATAACTCAAGCCTTGATTTAACCTCTCTCTTCTTCCTAATTAGATTTCGGTTGGCTCATTGGTTCTTAGCAAAGTTTCCCCACATTCTAATTCGTATGGATTTGTTGGTAGGGGACCCCTCTCTTGCTGACAAGATTGGTATTCAGAAAATTCAAAGAAGCGTGATTCAAAGTTGGCAACCCCCACCAATTGATTTCTATAAATTTTACATCGATGGGGCTGTCAAGTCTGATGGGTTGGCTGGAGGAATTGGAGGCATTTTGAGGGATTATAATTGTACCATTTTATCGACGTTTTCGGTTAGCATTGGTCCAGGACCTCCGTTGGCGGAGCTGAAAGCTATTAAGAAAGGTCTAGACAGTTTTCTTTCATCAGAGTGGGCTTCAAAGGGAAGACTGATTCTTGAAAGTGACTGCAAATCTGCAGTTGACTGGATTTTACTGCCTAATTCTGTTCCTAGTTTTTTCAATTCAATTGTTTTGGATATTGTGTCCTTAGTTCAAGAGAGGGCGGTTTTTATTCGATGGATTCCTAGGGGCTGCAATTGGGAAGCAGATAAATTAGCTAAGGGTGGAATCGGGTAATTGTAAGGGTATTTCTATAGGGTACTTCATGTATTTCAGTTTTATTAGGATTAACCCTTGTATTGATGTACTGTTTTGCAATAGTCCTCTATTTCTATAAATCAAGGTACTCTTTTCCTCCTTCCGCTAGTTACTCTTTTTCAGAGTTAACTATGAGGGAGGTTTTAATGAGGCCTTTCATTCCTATCAAAAAAAAATTTTGGGGCACTCTTTTCCTCCTTCCAATGTCCGTTGGGTTACTTTTGTAGCTCGATGGTTATGAAGGGTTTTCTAACGAGGCCTCCATTCTTATTAAAAAAAACATTTGTATTCTTGATTCTTTTGCCGCCAGCCTCCTTGTCTAAATCCATATTTGTTTCTTGTGACTATTATTTTCTTGAGATGCTCATTTTCTTTGTTATTTTTTCTTGTAAGTTTACAAGGATACCTGTCTATGTATCCCCTGAGGTGCCCTGAGCCAATACTACTAACTGTAGATGGTTATTTGCTTAATTTGATTCCAACTGTGTGAGTTCAATAATACAAATTTGATTGACTCCCATACTCCTCTGGTTGTGATAGCTAAGAGTGTTATGATCAGGTCGTTTCTATAATGCTGGGGTGTGGTCATCGGTGCTCTGGTGAGCGGGGATTACAGAAAATATATTGTTTTCCTAGAGGGATTATGGTTAAATTACTATTAATTGGTGCTTTGGTGCTATTGTTTGCAGGTGGGTTGCAAAATCATTGGATTTTAACAAGGACTATGATGCCAGTGTTTTCGAGACAACCATAAGGTTGCATTTTTCTGGTTTATATATGCATTAGTTGTTTTATCAGGAAGCTATTCTGAGTTATTATCCATTTTCCCCTCTTCTGGTGTTGTTTTATTTTAAATTGATACTGATGTTTGACTAATTTGTCCTATCTATTCCAATTGAAAATTCAGAGTTGTAGGTGGACTTCTAAGTGCATATGATCTTTCAGGGGACAAGATTTTCCTTGATAAAGCTAGAGATATTGCAGATAGATTGCTAGCTGCCTGGGATACTGCCACTGGGATCCCTTATAATGTTATCAACTTGGCTCGTGGACATCCACACAACGCTCGGTGGACCGGGGTAAGTTCTTTGCATTGCTGCTGTTTAGTATTTACTCTCCTTGATGCATTGTCGTTGAAACCAAACCGGGTAGTTGTACCGGGAACCGGCAGGTCTAGTGCTTCAACTAATGTTATAGAACCGTTTTAAACTGGAACTCGGAACTGGATGAACCGGCTAAACATCGTCTAAATCGGTTTTTGACATTTTTCTTCCATTTTCTTCGATCTTAATCAAGGATTACTGCATTGGTCCTTGTCTTTCATTTGACCCAGAAAAAGGAGGAAACAAAAGGTGTAGACAGTAACAATCAGACTTTCGATGGAGAAAACTGAGGACTAAAACAATATCTAATACTTCTTGAATTTGCCTTAAACATTCTTCTTTATGAAGAAATAGATCTTGCAAATTGCCGCCACACTCTTTTAATCAAGTCTTTGCATCATGAAAGGTGTTTTCTTCCTCACTTAAATCATATTTATCTTTGAGACTATGTTCCGGCCTGTCAAATTGGTTGTGGGTACCCTATGAAATCTCCATTTGGACTCATACTTGTTCTTGTCGCAGCCAAACGTAAACTGTTGTAGCTAATCCAATTTTATTTCTTAACATTGATATTCTCTTCCTTGACCACGAATGTGTCCAACCATGGCTTAAAATCAAACCCTGGGATCTAATTAGGCTCTGATTACAAAAAATTGACGTGCTTTACAGAAAAGCAATAATGAATCAATAAAATTAGGACTGAACAAACAAGAAAGAAAATGGGACTTTAGAAAACTTAGGGATATAAAAACCACTATTTTCTTTCTATTAATTCAAGAAAATAATAAAAATTATGTGGATGTGAATATTTTATAGCTTATTTATACTAGGGTTACTACTAAAGTTAATCCTAGCCCTAGATCCAAACGCAAAATATTACTAATAATCCTGGCCCTAGATTGAAACCCTAAAGATATCTTATAATCTTAGCAATCCATAAGGTCTTATAATTAATAAATATGGCTGAAGTAAAAATATAATATAGAATAACTAAAGCTCCTGCACTGTTACAATCTTATGGTGTAACATGCATCAATATGGAAGATAAGGAAAATTGAATTAGTGTCTGATGATTACTTTTAGTTAATTACTGGTTGAACTTGATCGTCTGAACAGTGTTAAAAAGGGCGCAAGGCGCACCAAGGCGATAGGGGTATTATAGCCGAGGCGCAAGGCGCGTGCCTTATTAAAGTGAGGCGCACTTATTGAAAATAAAATATATACTGATTTTTTCCAGTTCTGGGCTTAGGCTTGTTAAAACAAAATGGGCACATTTTTCATGGGCCGCTTTTATTCCTGTGGTGGTTTAGGCTTAGCATTAAAACAAAGTGGGCACATTTTTCTTTTCATTTTTGGATACCGACAGTTTGCTTTTGCCTTTGCCTTCACTTGAAGCCAGCTTCTGTATTAGCCTCGGCTTCCTTTCTCCTTCACATGCCCACCACCAAACAAAGCTCTTAACAAGTGTTGGCTCAAGTCAAAAAAGATAAAGGGTGTAAAAAAACATGAGTGAGAAAGTTAGTGAGAGAGAGTGTGTGGAGCCGAGAGGCAATGTTTCTCCTGGAAGAGGTAGAGCAGTGCTTGGTGGGAGATCGTGGGTAGAATTCATAGATAATCTTAGTAGGAGAGTGCATAGAAGTGTTTTATGGGATCGTTTTAGTCTTCATGGCAAGGTGGTTAAGGTGTTCATTCCATTTGTCAATAGGAGACCTAACTATAAGGATCATACGTTTTCCTTTGTGCACTCTGCAAGCAAGGAGGATTTGATTAATGCAATGAGTAAGATGAATAATGTCATGGTAGATGGGAGGAGAATTGTGGTAACGTTTGCGAAATATCAGAAGAGTAGTTTTCCAGGGAACCTTAAGCGTATTAGTGTAGTGGGGCCTGGAGAAGCAGGTGTGGAGGTTTCCAAAAGGAAAAATCCAATAGGTGAAGATGTTGATGTTGGGAAGGAGTTGTTCAACAAGTTTCATGATGGTAGAACATATAAGGATACAGTTGTGGGAGCGAGAAAAGTTGAAGGTCAGCAAGTAATCAACTCAGGAGATACGAGGGAGGTGAAGAAGCCTTTGGAAGTCTTTATTCCAATGGAGGAAAGAACATGGTTGAGATCGTCTTTAACAGGTATTTGTAAAGCGATTTTTGAAGTTGAGTTTGTTCAGAGGGCTTTAAGAAGCGAGGGAATCAATGTTAAGGTGGTAAGGTGGGGCTATGCGAAAAATGCAAATTTGATAGCCTTCCGGTCAGTGGAGGAGAAAGATGCAGCGGTGGAAAACAAGTGGGAGGCATTGTCTTTTTGGTTCGAAAGGTTGGAGCCTGTTATGGAAGAGAAGTGTGTTCCATTACCTTATTGTGCAGTTTCCATGATAGGTGTTCCATTAAATTGCTGGTTAGTTTCATTCTTTACAAGTTTGGCATCGAGATGGGGCAAACTAGTGAAGATCCAGGAGCATACAACTCAAAAAGTGGATTGCAGGGTGGCTCATATGTTGTTAAGGGTTGAGAGCCCGTTTGATATCCCGTCCCATGTAACCATTAATACTTATGGGAGGCCTTTTATTATTAAGATTAAAGTGGAAGGTAATGAGGATTTCTTTCCTGCGATAGAAGATGGAGTTGATGAAGAGGGTTCCGAGGAGGGAACAATTGATCCATGGGAGGAGACATTGTCAGAAGAGAAACAAGGGGATGATCGGGAGGGTCTGCAGGAGCAGTTGAATTTCAAAACGTTGGCAAACACTCAGAAAAGGGTGGAAGCATGGGTTAGGAATGCTACAAATGGCGGTGACACGCGTACCGATGGAAATTTGAAAGAAAATGCAGAAGTCAATAATATCTTAGGTGCTGATTTTTGTTCTGAGGGGACAGTACTAGGTGAGGTTCACAGTCAGCAGCAAGTGTCAGGGTTTTTTTCTGAAGGTAGAAAAAGGGTGCAGAGCATGGGAGGTGATACCTCGGGACAAGATAAAGTGGTCAAAGATGATGGGCTTAATTCCAGCATGGGGAGGAGAGAGGTGTATGGGCCTGAGCAGGGAAGTTCAAGATTAGATAGAAATGGGGTTAAGTCTGTAGATTTAATAAATGGTATACAAGCTGACTCTGGTCAACAGAATGGGTCTGTTTCATTGGCCCAGCGGCGTCCTATGGGGAGGAGTGCTTCAGTTAGTAAAGCTGAAAGAGGTTTTTATAAGAATGTGTATGCTAGGAGGTGGGAAGTTAAAAGTTGCAGTGGCAAGGGATCTGATTATGTTACAGAAGTGGGAGAACCAGGGGAGGACAGAAGGTTTGGAATGTTGGAATGTCTCTAAATTGTTGGGGGTTAAATTTAAAGGAGGTGAGATAGATTTCTTGGCCAAAGTAGGTCCTATGGTAAAGGAGAGAGATGTTTGATGGTCGGTAGTAGGAACATGGATTTAAGGTTATGGTATGATTATGATGGTAGAGTGGTCCATAATGTATTGGAATGTTAGGGGTTTGGGTAGAAGGGTGAAAGCTCGAGCAATTAGGAGGTTTGTTAAGGAGAAAAAGCCTATAATTTTATTTTTACAAGAATCTAAACTGGAAGTTGTAAGTCCTTTGTTAGTAAGGAAAATGAGAGGTAAAATTCTCACCAGTTCAGTAATAGTTCCTGCTGTAGGTTCTGCTGGTGGTTTAATAACTTTGTGGAATTAAAAAGAATTTATGAAGGAAGAAGTCATCCATAGTAGATTTGTGGCAATAAAGGGGTTGATGGAAGGAGTACCAGGAATTTGTTGTTTTATTAATGTCTACGGTCCGAGTGTTGATGCAGATAAGGAGCAATTTTTTAGGGAGTTATTATCCTTTCTGGAACAACTTGATTGTCCAGTGTGTTTAGGAGGAGATTTCAATGCGGTATTGTCTCAGGAAGAGAAAGATGGAGGAGCAGTGAATACGGTATCTATGAATAGTTCAAAGATTTTGTTAGTCAGGCGAATTTGATTGATTTGCCGCTATTTGGAGGTTGTTTTACGTGGTGTAACAATAGGGAAGTGCCCACTTATGAGAGATTGGATCGGTTTTTGGTTGATCATACATATTTTTCGTCTTTTTCCAAAATTAAGCCAAACTTTGCATCCAAGGTCTGTCTCTGATCACAATATCATTTTGTTGGAGAATAAGGAGTGTAATTAAGGGCCGAAACCGTTTCGGTTGTTTAATTATGTGTTGGAGGAAGATGGGTTTAGTGAGATGATGAAAATAGAGCTATTTAAATTCTGCAAAGGGGTGAATACGGTGTCCATCTCCAAAGTACTTAATCGGGTGAAGGATGTGGCAAAGAGGTGGTCGAGGAGGGATTATCTTCAAATGCGAGGAAAAATCAGAATGTTGGAGAGAGGAATTCAGGATATGGAAATGGATTTGCAACAAGGACTTTCCATGGTGTCTATGCAATCTGTTGTTGAAGCAAAGAGAGAACTATGGGAGCTACAAAAAAAAAAAAAAGAATTGATTTGGTTGCAAAAGTCTAGAATAAAGTGGAGATTGGAAGGAGATAAGAACACTAGATTTTTCCATCATAGTGCGGCAGTTAGAGGAAGGATAAATTGTATTAAATCTCTCAAAGTTGACAATGTAGTAACGGAAGATCCCAATGTTATTAAAGCCGCCGTGGTGGAGTTCTTTAAGGGTTTGTTTAATCAAAGGAATACTTTGGAGGTTGAGGATTTAAATCTGGATTTTCTTAGACTATCGGAATGGAATCAGTTTCGCATCTCTTTTTGCATTGCGAGGTAGTATGGGGTCTGTGGTCCAGATTTTTGCATATATGGAATTTGTCTTTCGTGATTCCAAAGAATATCGACTTTTTCAATTTGTGGGATGATTTACTTCCGAACTCTTTGATCTGGAAATTTATTCCAAGGGCGCTGATGTGGTCAGTGTGGAAATGCAGAAACGAGGCTATTTTTCAAAAACTAAAATTGGATGTGGTGAGATTGTTCTTTATTGTGCGTTTTAGAATAGCTTCATGGTTTGTTGCAAAATTCAAGGATGTGCATATCCCTTTAGACCCACTTGTGGGTGATTTAAAACTTGCTGATTTGGTGGGAAGACAAGGAAATGGTAACTCTAAACCAATTTGCTGGGTTCCTCCTCCGGATGGGTTCTTAAAGCTAAATGTTGATGGAGCGATGGCAAAGGGCTGGGATAAGGGAGGTATCGGTGGTCTGATTCGGGACAGCAAAGGCGTGTTGCTTCAATGGTTTTCAAAAAGAGTTGGGGGTGGTCCTCTTATCTTGGCAGAATTATTGGCGATTAAGAGGAGGTTATGTCTTCTGGAAGCTTTAAGTTATGTTCTTAATCAGAGGTTTATCCTTGAATCAGATTCAAGCAATGCTCTGAAGTGGATCAAGAATCCGAGTTTATGCACTCCTATGTTTCAATTATTGGTAAAGGATATAGTCAGTCTTATGGAAGGGAAGGACATCATTATTAGACATATCTTGAGGGTTGCAAATTGGGAAGCTGACAAATTAGCTAAAGATGGGATAGGGTGATGTTTTGGTTTCTGTCTGCTTGTGTTGAGGTGTAGGAAATTTTATTTCCTATGTTTAGCTGTTGTGTTTAAGTTTTATGTAATTCCTGGTGGTGTTAGCAGATGTTTAGGGTCTGCCTATGTTGTACTATTGTTTCATCTAATAAATTTCTAGGCACTCTTTTCCTCGTTTCTTTTTCCTCCATGTTACTTACATAACATGGAGGGTGAAAAAGGGGGTTTTTAATGAGGCCTAATCTTCTATCAAAAAAAAAAGTGTTGGCTCAAGTCTAAGGTGTTAGGTGGTTTAGGGGTTACAAATTTGAATTTGTTGAATAGTGCACTTTTGGACAAATGGTCATGGAGATTTGCATCTGAACATGATTTGTAGTGGAAAATGGTGATTTGCTGCAAGAATGATGTTGATCCGAGGTCCATTTCAGTAGAGAATTCGGCTTTTCCCAAAGCTTCTTGGATTTGGAAAGCAGTGGTAAAGAATTGTTTGGTAAGGGATGATTTTGGGGATTGTTTGGTAAGTCATGCTTAAAGTTGATGAACGAGAATGAGAATGTGGATCTTCCTTGGTCCAAACTTGTTTGTCTAGGGGTGGCCCCCCCTCGGGTTGAAGCTTTTGTCTGGTAGGTTTTTCATAGGAAGCTGGGAGTTAAAGTTGAGCTGTTGAAGCGTGGAGTCCCTGGGATTGTGGACGATCTTTGCCCTCTTTGTGTTTGACCCCGAAAACTGTCTCCCATTTGTTTGTCTTGTATGGTGGTTTGGAGGATATGGTCTTATTTCTTGAAGTTATGGGATATTTCTTTTGCTGTTCCAGAGAATCCAGCAGCTCTCATTTCTGTTTGGATGATTTTGGTGCCTCATTCGAGAATTTGGTTGTTTATTCCTGGGGCAATATTTTGGTCGGTTTGGAAATATAGAAATGAGATTATTTTTTAGGGTAGGAATTAGATCAATCAGTTATGTTTTTCTTAACAAGATACAGGTTCGTTACTTGGTTCTTGGTTAAATTTCCAAGTGTCCTTATTCCTTTTGATTGTCTTGTTTGAAATCCTTCTTTGGCGGATTCTTGGTTGTACAGTAAGAAAGCTTCCTCGGGTTCGTTGATTTGGTGCTCTCCTCCTAAGGGTTTCTTCAAAATGAATGTTGATGGGGCTATGGACAAGCATTGGATTAAAGGGGGAATTGATGGTTTACTAAGGGATGAAGATGGCATTGTGTTGGGGTCATTTTCCGAAACCATAGGATCGGGTCCTCCTATCTTAGCCATGCTTTTGGCAATTAAAGCGGGTTTAGGGTACTTCATGGAATCAGCTTGCAAGGGGAAGGCTTATTTTGGAAAGAGACTGCATCAAATCCTTAGAATGGATTAAGAACCCGGGTTCTTGTTCTGCTTTGTTTAATTCGTTAGTTAAGGAAATAGTGTCTTAGTAGCTGATAGGAATGTTATTGTAAGGCATGTTAAAAGAGTGGTGAATTGTGAGGCAGATGTGTTAGCCAAGTCAGGAATTGGATAATGCTGTTTTTTGTTTTCTGGTTTTTTAGGAGATTGTGTTCTGTGGAAGGGTGTTTAAGCTTGTGTAGGACTTATTGTACTGTTTATTTTGGTGGATTGGTGATAAAATTCTGAGTACACTTTCCTCCTTCCAATGTCCGTCAGGATACTCTTGTATTTTGACGGTTATGGAGTTTTTAACGAGGCCTCTATTTCTTATAAAAAAAGTGTTGGCTCAAGTCTTAAAGAAGCCGAGCCAAGCAATATTGACAGAACAGGTCTCTATCTTCCAGCCTGTCTCTTAACTCCACCTCTCTTATTCACGTGCCTAAAAGCTCTCTCCTTTTTCTTTTTCCTTTTCTTCTTCTTCTTCTTCTTCTTCCTCTTCATCTCCATTGTTGGTGTTTGCTTTGATATCAAAAATGGAAAGGTGGCGCTTTTCTGCGCCTCCACGCCTTGCTGCGCTTCATTGATATCGCCTCGCCTAGCTCCAAATAGGTGATTCAACCTCGCCTCGCCTTGTCTGAGCGCCTAGGTGCACCTTACGTGCGCCTTTTTAAACACTGCTTCTGAAGAAATTAGCTGATTGAGTGGAGCTAATTTATTAATGCCGATTAATAGTGTATAGATTTTGAGCTTTTTAGACACTGCGTAGAATTTATTATTTGTATGTATAATATTTTTATCTTTTAATATGCTAACTTTAGCACCTTACATTTTAGAGGCAAATGCATTTCTATCATCTTGTGCCAAGGGTTGATGTAAACAAATCCTTGTGCATAGGACATCACTACCGTTGCTGAAGACTTGATAGAACTTGTGTTAGTTTAGTGGAAATGTGCAGAAGTATTTGTTTAGTTGATTCCTCTAACTGAAATTAAAGCTCAAATGAGTTTGACTTGAAATTATTATTTGGTTATCTAACAAATGAGATCATGTGCCCTGGAAATTATTCCGTCTGTTTTTGGCAAATAATTTGTTAGTCTCGTTGTCCTTCATACGATAGTTTTTCATTCTATTAGTAAAAAGGTTACCTACTAAGAAGAAAGCTCTGTTATTTGAATTTGGAGCTTGTATTAGATATTTGTCTTGTGTAATTATTTCATTGAGTTTTATTTTTACTCTGTTCCCTAGGGTCGAAGCATTCTTGCAGACTCAGGGACTGAACAACTGGAGTTTATTGCTCTTTCACAAAGAACAGGAGATCCCAAGTATCAGGAGAAGGTATATTCCTCTCTGATTATATCTATGTACATTTTTCTAATTCTTGTGGTGGGACTGCTTGCTTGATATCCGACTTTTGTGTAGAGCCAATTGCAATAACCAAAATTTAGGATCCAGGGTTATTTTTTTTCCTTTTTCAATAATAAGATGTGTAAGAGATCGCCATTGTCCCTTGAGGGGGAAAAGTTTTAAAGTGGCTATTGGTTGCCGTGGTGGATAATTAATCTGATTGTGTTTGATGAATTAGGTGGAGAAGGTCATAGTTGCACTTAATAAAACTTTTCCGGCTGATGGTCTGCTTCCCATCTATATTAATCCTGACAGTGGAACCAGTTCAAACTCCATTATAACCTTTGGTGCTATGGGTGACAGGTATTTTCTTGAATTCAACCTTTCTGTTTCTTTTTTTTGGCTTAACAATCATCATTTCTTTCATTTTAAGTTTTGCATAATGACCAAGTTTATCGCAGCTTCTATGAATATCTGCTCAAAGTCTGGATCCAAGGAAACAAAACATCATCTTTAAAGCTTTATAGGTGTGGACCCATTATCTCTCTCAATTTTTATTTTTTAATTGCAGCTACTAATAACTTATTCATTGGATGTAAAAATATTTTTTCTTTGAATGTTAAGAATTCGAAGGAGCTGAGCCTCCTTCCATCCAACATAATCGAACTTATCCTTAATATAAGATTTCAGAAAACAGACTCCTTGTTCTCTACTTGGCGATTTTGTGTCTGCTTTTGCTTATTTTGTTCTGTTCCTTTATAATGAAAGCACCTTTTGTTGTCGGCTTATCTTTAGGCTCGTGCAGACTGTGACAAGGATGTAATGCGTTATACTAATATCAAATGGATCACTTCCATCTTTTGCATCGATTTTTTCGGTTCTGAAGTCATGAATATGAAATTAAAATGTTAGACTTGGCGATGACTGAAGTTTGTGTACTAGAGATAAATCCTTAGCGGACTTTCGAATAATAAAATTTTTAGCTTGAACAAGAACAAAAATGCTGAAAGTCTTTATTCATGCTTTAAGCATATTGATTTTAATACAGTAAACTATTTTATTTTGATTTAACTTTCTGATGAGAAAACCCCATGGTGGAATATTGGATGCAGAGATATGTGGGAGACATCAATGAAAGGTCTACAAAGCTTAATTAGAAGATCAACACCATCGTCATTTGCATATATCAGTGAGAAAAATGGGGATTCGCTGACAAATAAGGTATGGCTTAGTATGAGTACTACTGCATTATTCTTTTATACTTTTGTTTATTTCACTTCTTGTTTCAACATTTCATTTCTATGCAGATGGACGAATTAGCATGCTTTGCTCCAGGAATGCTGGCTTTAGGTTCATCTGGTTATGATCCAGCTGAGGCAAAGAAAATTTTCTCACTTGCTGAAGAGGTATTTTTTATGACTTGTAGCAGGCGTAAGATGATTTTTTTTTTTTTGCGTACTGCATATGCATGAAGGAAAATATATTGGACAAAATAGGAAATAACTTTTCCTTTAACGGTCCAGTTGGGGGGGGGGGGGGGGAGGTAATGTAAAAAGTTGTCTCTTCATGTAAGGTAGTCAAATGGATAGCTTTGAGTAATTCTTGTATTCCCCTCTATGATCCTCTTAGTAGGAGCTGATTCGTCGGTCCTGATTTTTTTGTCTTTTATGCAGCTTGCTTGGACTTGTTACAATTTTTACCAATCCACACCAACAAAGTTAGCTGGAGAGAATTATTTCTTTAATCCGGGACAAGTAAGCTAGCATTATTCTCATGATATATGTGCTCTTATCATGTTACATGGTGATAGTTCTAAATATAATCCCGCAGGACATTAGTGTCGGCACATCCTGGAACATTTTGAGACCAGAGACAGTTGAATCACTCTTTTACCTGTGGCGCCTAACTGGTAATAAGACATATCAAGAGTGGGGTTGGAATATATTTCAAGCATTCGAAAAGAACTCTCGGATAGAATCTGGATATGTTGGATTGAAAGATGTAAGTGCTATATCAAACACCCCCCAGCACATAATGTTGTTGTATGTGGTTATATTTCTGTCCTTTGTAATCCTTAGAAGATCACAAAAAATGGTCGTTGATGGTAACTAAAAACATTATAGATTGGATGAGGATTAAGAGAACAGATACCTTTTCGAAGTGCAATAGGTTCTACTAGAGGGATGATCGGAGTTGGAGAAGATGGTCGTTGAGGGGATGAGTCACTTGGAACATTCTCTTATTCTGTACCTGCAAGAGGATTGCTAAAAAGAGTATCAGAAGTTAACGTATGAAATTTATGATCCGGATAAATTAAACGATTCTTGAGACTTATATACTTATTTCTGTGTGCAAGTGATTATCAGAAACTAAAATTTAGTCAAGTGAGCAATATCTTATGGGATATTAACTTTGCTTTACCTCTTCACTATTTGATGTTTATTATTGTTGCGATTCATTTATGTTAATTGTCTGTTTCTTCAGGTTAACACTGGTATCAAAGACAACATGATGCAAAGCTTTTTTCTTGCCGAGACACTGAAATATCTTTACCTTCTTTTCTCTCCACCAACGGTCATCCCTTTGGATGAATGGGTATTCAACACAGAAGCGCATCCTTTACGAATAGTTAACCGCGATGATGCAAATTTCGCAGCATTAGAAGGGCAGCATAAACCAGTGATTAAAATACGAAACAGGAAGACCGGTCGATTGAGTGGTAACTAGGATACGTTTTCATATTGTTGTTCCTGGCTTAACTTATACGAAATTTTAAACCTCCAAGTAGATGAGAAGCTAGATGTTTAACGACATCGTTTGTTGAAACGAATAGAATAGTAGGTCTCTGGCTTCCATCGGAGAAGCATGTGGCTCGAACCAAATCCTTCGTTCCGAGTTAGTGTAAAATGCTGTAATCATAGATTCATATGGATTGAAATGCCCATATGTCAGAATTTAGGCAACGAGTTTACAATCATTCTCTAGGATTTTTGTCATTAGAATCTAACAGGCGTTGTATAAAAGAATGTCTACGATTTCCCAATGTTTATTTCCTATGTTACATCTTTTTAAATATTGGTTACTCACAACTATGTAGTTCATTTTTGACACACCTTTTTCCCCTTTGTTGGCATAAATTAATTTTGGGGATGTGAATAGAGGTGTACAAAAAATTTGAATATCCGATTTTGCGTTAAAAATATCTGAAATCGGATTTGGGAAAAATCGGTTTTTTTAAACCGGATCGGATATTTTAAAACCGAATAGTATAACCGGTTTGGGAAAAAATTGGACGATCAGATTTTTTACCGGATTAAAAACCGGTTTGAAAAAAATCGGATAAAAATTGGTTTTTTATCCGGAAAAAAATCCGGTCTGGGGTTTAAAAAATTGGATGACCGGAAAATCCGAATTAAAAACCGGCGGTGTTTTTCAAACCGAAACCGGTTACATCGATTACATCATCCGGCCCTCCAAACTGGATATGATCCGAACCGATTTTTTTATAAACCAATTTTTTAGCTTAGTGAAAAAACTGGATTGGTTTTTATCCGATCTGGATCGAATTTAAATCCGGCTATGTGCATCTCTAGATGTGAATAGGCATGTTCATAGGTTGATCAAGTTTGGGTTGTCTGTCCGGCAACCTAATTCACAGTTTAACATTTTTTTTAATAGTTTATATAATTATAAGTAGGGGTGTTAAAAAAAACCGTAACTGTTAGCCGATATAACTGTTACATTTAACAGGTTAATCAAATGAAATGTAATACTAAACAGTTTTGGTTAATCGGATCGTTATAAATGATGGTTAACGTTAATGTTAGGGTTACGAATTTTGACAAATGGTTGACCGTTGGTTAACCCTTAATAAATTAAATTTATAACTATATTTTTAATTTATTATATTTTTATACAAATAAATTAATATAATTTTATATTATTTATAATTTATAATTTAATAAAATTTGTATATGGTTGGTTAATCGTTAATAAATTAAATTTCTAACTATATTTCTAATTTATTATATTTTTACATAAATAAGTTAATATAATTTTTTATTATTTATATATATATATATATATATATATATAATAAAATTTGTATATAAATAACTTTATATATATTTTATTTTATTTTTTTATTTTATAATTATTTAAAAAATATAGAAATATGCTTACACTAATATAATTATGTGTTTATAGCTAGGTATTAACATGTTAGGAGATGTACATACTTACACTGGTGTAAATATATGTTAATTGATATATCATTTTATTTTATTCATTTACACCGGTGTAAGTAATGTCAAGTATTACATATTTTTATAATATAGATTATGAAAATTTTTGACAAATAATTATAATAGGTTAACCTACGGTTAACCTGTAATCGAACTATTAATAACAGTTAATTATTAACAGTTAACTATTTTTTAATGGTTAAGTAATGATTAAAAAAAATCTTATAACTTTTATAACGGTGAACTGATGGTTTAGACTAAACGGTACGTTTATCGAACAACCCACGTTTTGTTCATAATTTTACTTTTTGGAATAAAAATGTTTTTCTACGGCACTCTACAATGCAAACGTAAAACCCACATTTTGGATGCTTCTTTGAATATTACCTCTTTGGTGTTGCTTTTCTAACTTCGAACTAAAAAGTGGAACGGCATGAGGAGTGGGAAGCATAGAGTGAAGAGTGTTGGCGTCGACGATGAATGGACAACCTTCGTAGATAATCTGAGCAAACGAGTGTCAAGAAGAGCATTGAGAGAGGTGTTCAATCATCATGGTCCCTGATAGCATAGTCAATAAACTCTAGTCTCCTAATCTTTTATTCACATGCAGAAAGGGGAGGGAGAATTCGTAGATGCCCACTTCTCTGGTAGTTCCAGACTCATTGATCATGTATTCAAGGAAGGGGGCTAATGGCTCAGAGGCAATAATTAGAAAATAGGCTTCTAGGCAAATCAGAGAAACCTTTGAAGGGGCAGATCCTTTGAGCAAAGAAGCTAGCTGTCACAGATTCGCACACGGGGTGTTCGATGAGGTAGAAGTTGTTTGGGAAGTGAGTAACATCCTGAAATTATCTTTCGAGTGGGGCAAAGATGCGGTTATTGGAAAGGTTTGAGCCTTGGAAGAGGAATTGAGGCAGGTGGTATGAGAGTCTGGTGTTGATCCAACCTAGTATCGGAGATTTTTATAATTCTTCAGTGAACTTTTCTCTAGTGACTTGGAATATTAGGGGCTTTGAGAGGTTTGAAAAAGTTAGAGCTGCGAATAGATTGATCAGAAATACGAAGGCCAAAGTGGCTTTTTTTAGGAAACAAAATTAGAGGAAATGAGTCGATATACAGGAAAATTTGTGGAAAAAGGGAGTTGGAGTGGGTGTTCAGCCGTGCTATAGGTTCGACGAGGGGATCCTATGCCTATGAGATTCCACTTTCTTTAAGGAGGTTTGTTGCTATCTTAAGGACGATTCTAAGTAAGAATTTTAACTGCGAATTCATCAACGTGTACGACCCCTCTATTGATGCAGAAAAAGAATCTTTTTTTCAAGAATTAAATGAGTTTATGGAAAGCTACTCAGTGTCATGGTGTATGAGAGGGGATTTCAACACCTTCCTCTCTTTGGAGGAGAAGATCGACGCTAATCAACTACAGAGTTATTGGGTGGTTTAGGGATTTTATCCAAAGAGCCAAGTTTGTAACATCCTAAAGTCGACTAGGCTTAAAGTGTCATATTGGACTACCGAGACAATTCTTGATTTTCAAAACATTCATTTTCCTTTTAAACACACTAAATGATATCATAAATAAAATATAAATAATGAATATATAACATTTTACAAAACCGGAGCTCCGTGACACATAATTTAAAACTAAATTGATACAGACTCTGAATTTAATAAAAGCAATACATGAGTAAGGTTCTATGAATACATATGCCCACTAAAACTACAATACATTACTCTGTCAGAGATGCTGAAAGTCCTACTATGATGGTGCTCCACGAACTGCTCAACCTACTGAACTACCAATGGAAAACATCCGAAGGCTGAGCTTACAAAACCCAATAGTATAATCGCTAATCTAGAGCATCTTAAGAATTTCATAAACATAAGCATGTTGAATACATGGTACTAAGTGGTAGGTACATGCATGATCTAGATCAAGTGCTACCTACTTAAGGCTTTACTGCTCTATCCTTAAGCTTTCCTTAATCTTCCACTAAGGGTCTCGCCATGAGTACGCCTCTAAAGAGTCTCTAACCCTAGTGCTTGTACTGTTACACATTATCTTTATGCGACACTGATACTCCTGTGCATTATCTGAATGCAAACCTGACATGTATCTGTAGGCACCCATTTTTATCCTGGTCAAAAAATATTATAATAATAATAATAATAATTATTATTATTATTAATTATTAATTATTATCTACCCTACCCACTATCCACCACTATCTACTAACCACCTAATACACCACTATCCACCTAATTACCTAACCCACTATCATCATCTCACTATAAAAAGGGAGAGGAGCTATTCCGTGGAAGGGGTTTTTCAAAGAAAAATACAGAGAGAAACCAAGAGGGGAATTTGAATGACAAATGTAAAGGGAGGCAGAGGAAAGCGGGGGAGGAATTACATGAACTGTTTGAAGAGATGTTCCAAGTGGACATTGATTCGTTAGGGTCGAATTGATTTTCTGCTGGATAGAGAAATTTTTTTTGACTACCGAAGAAGCAAAGAAAGTTACAAATGGCAGTTAAACAGAATGTTCTTTCGCCGGAGATCAGCGCTTCCTTCTGGATTTATTTCATTCATTTTCTTGTTTATTCTTTTATTTATTATACAAGCGACAGTTTTGCAGCTGAGCAATTATGAACTAAGGGAGAGACATGCTGAAGGATATTGTGCAATGTATGACATTTGCGGAGCACGAAGTGATGGCAAAGTGGTAAACTGTGCTTCCGGTTCTCCAGCAGTAAAGCCTGATGAGTTACTTTCGTCCAAGATTCAAAGTTTGTGCCCGGCAATCACTGGAAATTTTGTTGTACAGAAGCTCAATTTGATACAATACGAAGTCAAGTCCAGCAAGCAATTCCTTTCCTTGTAGGTTGTCCAATATGCTTGAGAAACTTTTTGAATCTGTTCTGTGAGCTCTCATGTTCTCCAAATCAAAATTTGTTCATCAATGTAACTTCTGTATCCCAGTTTGATACTATGAGTACTCGTGCTATGCAATTTATTGGTGTTGGTGCTAAAAATTTCAAAGAGTGGTTTGATTTCATTGGTAGGCGAGCACCGAATAACTTGCCAGGTTTACCATATGCCATTCAGTTCCTGCCAACTATTACTGTTTTTTTTTTTTTTTTTGTTTTTTATTTTTCCTTTCATTTATTTAACATTAATTTTTTCTTATCTAACATTTTTTGGCTTTTTAGGGATACTTTCAATCGATCAGAGGTAATTAATTCGAATTGAATTTTTAAAATTTTAATTTTAATCTTCGCAATTAATACAACCGACAAATTAATTGGTATCGAAAGGACATTACAAGGGTGTTAATCCTTCTTTGATTGTAACCGACTCCCGAACACGACACATTTCTGGTAAAACATAGATCAGGTAAGATGGTGTCCGATCAACCTAAATATTTTTTTTAAATGATCGATGGTGACTCTAAAATTTTTATTCAAGTCGAAGTCCAATTACGGGCCCACCCAAAAGATGGTTGCGACAATATCTAGTCTCACATAGCCATCAGACACTAGCTAGCTTAGAGAATCTGGTGTCACATAGCATCAATGCAATTCCCACAAAACATATTGAATGATCTCCTGGTCCTCACTTAGCCATTAGGTAGATCATTGAGGGGAAGTCGGGGTCACATAGCATCGGTAAAATTCCCGCCTAATTGAAGTATTAGTTCGGTCTGACATAGCCTTCAAGCCAAGCTTAAACATATCTAATATACCAGACTGATAGGATTATACATGCATGACGTAAACAAACAGATATGAGGTAGGTCTTTAT